CTTACATACCTCTTAGGGATCAAACCCATGGCGAAAATCCGCAACAAAACTCAAGAATCTCGACAAACGTCATGAACCTCTCCTCTTTTCTCTTCTTGAACTCTCAACTAAAACCCTAAGCATATATTAGGATTGTAAATCTAAACCAAATCAGTTTAGACTCCTAAAACCTTACTAAAATTGAATTAAATCTGATTAGGTAAGGAAAAGACCAAAATACCCTCCTTAGTTAGGGTGGAAAGACCCTATCTAGAGAGGCTGCACTCAAATGGTCATATCTCCCTCATATGAGCTCAAAATTTAGAAAACTTGGTGGCGTTGGAAAGAGCACTCAGAGATCTTTCATTTGACATCTTATGGGCCACCTAACTCATCCTGTGCTAAAAGTAATGGTCATTTGAAGTTGACCCAAAACTTAGAAGAACTTAGAAATGACTTGAATGAACTCTCTTTAGTTCTTTTTGGAACTCAAGGTGCCACATCTAGTGACCTTAACACTCAAGAAAAATTTAAATTCCTCGATAAAGTACTACTCACAACGAAGGATGGTTCGAGTCTTAGAGCTTCAATTACCTCTTGAAGAGAGCTTTTTGAAAAATTATCTCAACTCATAGATTACTTTTACATTAGCATCCCGTTATATGTTTTTGGGAGTAGTGCTAAGTTTGGGTGTACATGACCGGGTTGGTTCAGATTTTCAAATATCAAACTAAACCATTTGTGATAAATTTTTAAATTTATAAACGAAACCAAATTAATATAACTCGGGTTTTTTGGGGTTTTTCAACCTCAGGTTTTTTCAACCTCGGGTTAGTTCAGGTTTTCCAAATACTAAACCAAACAATTTGTGTCAAATTTTTAAACCAAACCAAACTAATAAACCTCAATTTGTTGGGATTTTTCCGATAAAGTATTCATACAAATATAATTAACTTGTGCTCCAAATATTTCTTTAGTCCAACCAAAATACAACTATTTAAGGTGTGTCTTAGAAAAAATAACACAAAATATGAGATGAATAATGGCACTAAAATATTTAATAAAAAATAATAATGAAATCATATAAATAAAATATTGCAAATTGATAAGTCGTAATGATAATGATCATAATTTAAAAGTACTAAATCATGCTAAACTAAGTCTAATAAGTAAAAATTACAGGATAAACATTATAAAAAAATTAGGTTATGTATTTTAAATTTCTAAATCAATGTAACAATAAAGAACAAATATTCAACATTATTGTCATTCTTAGTATTGAATTAATTTATTAGAGTTACGAATATCTGTGGACTATAACCTTTATTGGACCATTTAAAATTCTTAGTCTCAAAAAACTTGAAAAATATGTTAAAAGATAAAATTATGAAAACGTATAAGTAATATTTAGAAATTACATCAAAGTAAAAACTTTTATATTTAAAATAAATTTTAAAAATTATATATATAATGCCGGGTTGGTTTGGTCTCGGGTTGACTTTTTTTAGTTAAAACCAAACCAACTCAAGTAAAGTCGGGTTTTATTTTAATACCAAACCAAATCATTAGTCGGATTTTTTTTTTGATTTGACTCGGTGTATGGTTTGGTTTGATTTTTTGTTCGGTTTTGTGCACCCCTATTAATGAGCATTGATTTGGGTGAGAGTTTCGATAACTCCCAACCCTATATACCACGTAACCAACATGGGATAGGATCGCACCAACGCCTCTTGAGAAGGCCTTTTATATGGATCCATGAGTTGAGTTTTGTTCTATACTCTGGCAAGTATAGGGCAATTTTGACAACGTGGGTGAAACATTGCATCATCACGAGGCTCATAGTGATGGTTGTCGGTTAGAGAAATTCCCCATAGTAAAGAATATATATATATATATATATATATATATATATATATATATTATTATTATTTTTTTCCAGTTTAGTTCAATATTTGTTCTTATTGCAGTTTATTTGTGAAGCTTAAATGATTTTTATCTCATGTTTATGCTTTACTTTAGTTGAATTACATTTCAACCCTTCAGTTCAGTAATTGTGCTATGGCTACTTTAGGACAATTCCCACCTTAGGGTTCACTCAACCTTATTACATATTGTACATTCAAAATATTGATGTCATTCGACCTGCATCGTTTTGTGATGCAGATACAGATGTTCAGAATCATCAACATGTGTTTCGTTGAGATCACCCAAATACAAAATCTGACTTTTTGTCATGCCCTTGAGACTACCCCTAGATGCGACACAATGCTTAGAGTTATAAGTGACCCTAGGCTAACCTCATGGCATGACATGGCACTGAGTAACATAATAAGACTAATAGTACTGAATGCAGAAGACATTGAATCAGGTATATTTAAACAAAACTGAAACATACACAAAATCTAAATTGACTGTCTGAAAGCCTCTACTAATATGAGTTGTTAGGACAAACCCCTAGTTAACTCCAAATGTATGAAAACTAGTATATAACAATATTGAAAGAAACATAAAGGGTCGTCCTCGAATAGATCTCACCTAGGTACTACTGTGGTGATCAAAATTTGTACTAACCATGTCCCAAAAGATAAACGTCCGAACATATATTATCAAACAATAAAGACAGAAAGTGTGCGGTCAACATTTTGAATGTACTGAGTATGAGGAGAATGAATAAAATAACATGATATTTGAACATACTGAATCTATAAATATGAGGATGCAATGATCAAGTAAATAACGTGAAACTGAACAGAAATATTAGAATACTTGATCATGCAATATTGAAAATATACTGAGTGTGAAAAGTACTAAAATCAACATAAATCATGGGAGCTACTACATTGATTTCAGTGTACTACATCCACACCGAAAAGAGAGTGTCCAATACTTGCCAAGGTAACGAACCTGATAATTGAGCTAAGATAGATCCACTAGTTAAAGTCTATACTGACTAATCCGATGATGACACGTAAATCTGGGACATAAGAATTGCTACTAAAGATCCACAAACGTTAAAAAAAAACCTTAATCCCTAAAGTTCGCTTTGTGCCAAGTATTACTCCCAATGAAAACATGCATAATATGGATACAGTATAATCTAATAATACTGAATCATACTGAGTAGCTCATAAATTATGATAACTGCATGTAATCTGAAAGCATCTAAATTATGATATCTAAATAAAGATACTGGAAGCTACTTTATCTGAAAGTATCATATTTCATGAAAATTTGACAATCTAAGACATGCATATGAACTAACATAATTCTAAATCATGAAAAATACTTGCATGATATTGGATTATGAAAATACCATCGAAAACATGAAATTATTATCAAAACCATGCAATTGAAGACTAATTATGAAGAAGAAAATGAAATTCAATAAAAATCCATGAAAATCATAGAAACCCTAGGTTTGTAGAAATTATAACTTGAGAAATTTAGGTTTCTTTGGAACTCAATGGGTGAATGGGTACCCATTGCTGAAGTTCTCACATACATGGAGTAGAAACCCAAGCTTGAAGCTTGGAACCCAATTTTTTCCTTGAGAGAAGAAACTTGATTTGGGAGAGTTGGGAGAAAAAAAAGAGGTTAGGGTCACTTACGAGTGCCACCCAAACCAATATTCGGGTTAATTTTGGTTATCCATTAATAATGGCTTTCTTGAGAATATGATTTTTATGTTTGACTATATTAGATTATTAGTCATGTTTTTAGAGTTTTTGGCCAAAAACATTTCTAAACTATACCCCAACTTAAATTACATCATGAACTATCCTTCTTAATAAAAAGCATCCCTCATGTGTTTAAAACTAAAAACAAATTTCATCCATTTTTTAATAATGAAAAACGAAACTCGAGTGTCAGATATGAAAATCAGAATCTTGATTACTTCGACTATTAGATTGCATCAAAAATTTATTGATCTAATTGCGTTTTTATTTTAATTTGCAGAAGGTGAAGATGGTGTGAAATTAAGCTCCAGCTTCGTTCAGTTGATTAAGGAAAAGAAGAGCACATTATGTCCCTTTGCAGGTTCACACCGTCCTAACTTTATTTCTTTTCAACAAACAAAGGTCTCAGATAATTTTAATTTTTTTGGGGGGGATTTTTTTCAACGGATAATGAAATTATGGAGAAAAATGCTACTGAGAGTAGTATGAATTGCACATGTTTTTTTTTCTGAAATTTGTTAATTGTTTGACAAATTTTAATAAAAGAATGAACGTTGTGAAGTTCTAAATACTTGGGGGATATTTTATGTTAAGAAATTTAAGAATGTCGTTTAAGTTAAAGATATAGTGTAATGATTTTTTTTTTTATAAAAACTCCATGTTTCTGTCAATTCTTACAAATTTGATTGAGACTAAGACAAGCTCAAATGAAAAATTACTATATTGTTGATGATAACTTGAGGCACATTTTTTGAGCTCCCACCCATTTTACTCCTTTGGTGACTCGAACTCGCAACCTTTGGGTTGGAAGTGAAGGGTGCTTACCATCCGAGCAACTCCCTCTCGTCTGAGGCACATTTGTTGTTATTGAATATAGCAACTATTGTTTGTTTGTATATTTCGGTCAAATCAGGTATTGGGGTGACAGTTACAAGTAGACATGGATGAACCACCTCTAAGTCCATACACAAATATGGAAATCCCACGGACAAAAATGAACGAGTTATTACACGAAACTTTGAGCAGGAGACAAGGGGCAAACCCGACTTATAGCCCAACTACAAATAATATCAACTCTGAAATACAGTGAGTAATGAGTCAAATGTAATTGACCTGCACTGCTGCTAACTTATTATCTTCCTAATAACTATGAAGAAAAAAACACTTTTACATGCTACACCTAATGACCATTACCTTCAGTGTCTATTAAAGTCTCAGCGAAAGAAACAGCTAAAAGTAATTACAACCGGAAAACGATAAATCTAAAAAACCAAACTCAGAAAGAAGACTCAGAACAGCATCTTGGAATTACACATCCAGCTGCTAGCTTTGCAACGCCATAATTCAAGAAGCATTTTCTGAAGAAGTAACCTCAATTTTGTTGGAGTCAGTATTAGCGATTGCCTTCGACTTATCATCAGATTCATCCTTTTCCTTTGCAGTCATAAATCGACCCCCACACCCTCTAGCTCTTCTCAGGGCATGCAAATGCCGAGATTCATGCAAGTAGGGCTGCAAGATTATTTTGCACAGTAAGACCCCCATGATCTTGGTTCTTGAAAGTTGAAACACATCCTCAAAAAGAGATTACAACTCTAATAAGGCAGTCCGGCCACCTTATCAACAAACTATGCAATTAGACATAATGACTATACCTATTTACTAGGAAATAAAAGATATTGTTGATCAAGCTCAAGATGTTCCTGATATATCATTCTTCCATACTCGAAAGAAATTTCAAGAATCATATGATCTTATTTCTTCAATCGCATTTCTCAACTTCTGGACACTTGTACAACTAAAAAAATAATACATGGACCATCAAAAAATTAGAGGCAGCAGGAGCCACTTCTGACTACATTTCTGTGGCTGAAACAGAGAGGCACAAAAACCAAAAAGTCAGAAGTGTTTAGAAAGTATACACAAGTTAGGTACAATTGCACTTGTCCCTGAGTTTGAGGACATTTAGTCCCTCCAATATCTAAGGAGCAGCATAATAAACAAACTTTAGGTACAATCCTAATATCAGGATTGGGCTTGATCAATTATTTCCTAGTAAATAGCTAAAAGTCAAAATTGTACCTAAAAACTTTAGGTACAATCTAGCTCATAGCACATTAGGCCTGCAACTTCTTTTAATGCTACATATAAAGTTAACCAAAGAGATTAATTTCCGTTTGAAGATACTCAACGAGGGTAATCTCTACCAATGATAGATAATTCCTTTTGAGGAACCAAAAACATCCTGATTTTGAATACATCTAGTTGATACTGAATACCTCTCGTCTCTTAGATTGGAGTTTGATCACGATTTCATCAACATACCGTTTTTAATTTTAACACCTTATGGTGCAGCAAAAACCTTGGCACAAAAAACCTAAGAATTTTATGTGCACCAAGAGAGTTTTGAGGCATAAACTGTCACTACACCTTAAACAGATGGAATAGAACTGCTTTTTGACAATTTTCTCTACTGACGTTTTTATTCTCTGCTAGTTATTGTTGTGATACAGTACATTATAAATAAAAAAATGTTGGGGTTTAACGTGTTACCATTGTGTACTGACCTCAAAATAGAAGGACCCCAATAAAAATTCTACAGGTTGGTAAAACTGGTAGGCTAATGAACTGGGAAATATAAATCAGTCATTGAACCAATAAGCTGTCAAATGTAGCAACTAGGTAAAATGATAGCAAAATGCATTTTGTACAAGATACCTTCCTAGCTTTAGGACGTTTATTTTCTGGTAGGCTAATGAACTGGGAAATATAAATCAGTCATTGAACCAATAAGCTGTCAAATGTAGCAACTAGGTAAAATGATGGCAAAATGCATTTTGTACAAAATACCTTCCTAGATTTTAGAAGTTTATTTTCTGATTCAGCTTTTGCACGAGATTGTCGGCGCCTCAAGATGCCATGATACTGTTTTGCATTAACGAAAACAGGTTCCTCCGCAACATCTGATGGTAGAGGAACACCAGCTTGTTGAATTCCCATCAACTGAAGTCGAACCTGACAAACCATGGATCAGTTAAGCTTATAAACTTTGTCGACACTTCACCAGATACCAAATGAAAAATATAACTAATCAGAAAATCATTACCATTGACTGTGCTGGATAAGGTTGTGCAGGGTAAGGTTGTGCGTCATAGGGTGCAAAAATGCTCCTGTAGTAAGGATCTGGATAAGGGTAAGCTGTTTGCGCCTGCAATACATGAAAAATGACTGTAAATTCTTAGTCCCATTTTATATGAAAAAACTTAACCTTGATGATTGAGGAATTAGTCTAAAAATAGTAGTGGCAGATGAACATTCTAAATAGTGGATGACATATGACATTTACAGGAAAAGGCAAACATCATATCATTGTTCACATTTCAACTGTTTGAAAATCTTGAAACTAATGACCAAGATACTTGTAGAATTTTTATTTTTATTTTTTTAAAAAAAAAAACACAAAGGGAGGAGAAGATTAGATGCTTATTAATTTGATATCGTACGGAAAAAAAAATACAAATTTGATCTCTAGACTTGCATCCCTGCACTATTGGTTTCCTATGCTTCCCAGCAAAACTTATTTCAATCTGCATTTCAAGATGAAGAAGGTTGTGGAAAATTGCTTCCAGTTATAGCAGCCGATGAAGAGTTCAGAGGACCACGTGAATTAAAATAATATATGCAAAGACACAATGTATATACTTACTTTGTTTCTCTTTCTTCTCCATTCTTATGACCTAATTATAGAACATATGTTGTGCATGCACTGTATCAACTTAAACAAAAGAAGATGAAGAAGGCAAGTAACAACTAACAGCATGAAGATAATACTCCCTAAACCAACATCAATACATTCACATGCATCATCTTTTGAGTTCTTGTACCAGATTTAACAAGAACTCTAATACTGAACAACGAGGGCAGCTATAGAACTTAAAGAATCACATAAGAGGGTGGGGGTGTTGCATCCACCAGCAAGAATACCATTGCATCAGCATTTCCAAGTTGAGAAGGTATCAAGTAGTGCATGTCTGGTGGCACAGTCCCAGGAACAGACAATTCAGCTGCAGGGGATGAAGATCGGCTTTGCATCTCTGACTGCTTTTGTGGTTGTTCATTCTCGCAATTATCTGAAATTTATTTAACAAACACATGGAAATATTATATTAGCCACAGATAATACAAGTTCATCTATGATAGGCTAAAGAATAAAAGCTGATTTTCATGCAAGAAAGAAAAACTCCCATAAGCAGAAACCTCTATCAACGATTGAAATCATGAGTTAGTTGATCAGTGAGGAGAGATAAAGTTGAGCTGATCTGCAGAAAAAGTAGTTTAGTTACTAGCATTGTGTACTACTATGAACGTGGATCCAAGTTTTTAACCAATTGGTTAAACATGAACTTTGCTGTCTTGATCCCTTCTTGCTGATTATTCCTTTTTCCTTTTCTGTTCATTTCAACTCCTTTAATCAGGATGCTAGAACACTTCTTTCCTTTCCATTGACATAATTTATATAGAGAAATGGACAGGAAGCGAATAATCTAAGGTATGGAAGAAATGGTTTTCTTGGAACCAAAATTCAATCTATTCATTGATGAGAAAAAAATAGGAAGAAGAAATAGATCAACCATCCATAAGTGCTTTTGGCTTTTTAGTTTTACAATGCTTGATAATCAAATCCAAAGACGAGACAAATTGTTCCTCTCTCTCTCTCTCTCAGAGTCTTCATATTGTATAAAAAAAAATTCAATTTTTTGTGAAGTATCTTCTGGTTCTTTTGGCGTTGATATTTGCTTATCAAAGGAATATTGTTTTGAAGTTTATGTTCTTAAATGTTCAAAAATCATTGTTAAGGCTTCATTTCATCTTAATAATCTGGGAATTAAGGTATTACTACGCTGTAAACTTGCTTCTAATATCATCTCCTCCTTGTTTTACTATGATTAGTATCTTCAGGGGCTAATGTCGTTTTCATTCATCCACCAAAGCTTTCCATGAACCAAGTCTTATGTGATGCAGGCTATTGATTATTCTAGACTACTTGTTTGTATTTAATTTGGCCCAGTTAAACTGTTTTAGTAGAGGAAATCAGTTGATGGGTCCGAAGAATTCACAAGGAGTCTAGAGAGCTTCAGTAAAGAGCAGGCAAGAAATGACAGACACATTCCATTCATCCAAAGCCGCACTAACCATATCCAGTAAGTGATCAGAAGGGAAGGACTGAGAAGTAGAGGCTCCATACAAAAGAGAGAATCAATTGAAAAAGCCTCTCTCTCCTTATTAACAGAAATAAAAATACCTCTGGAAAGGAATCAAGTTGACCTTGTCAAAGAGCTGTAAAATTCATAGCACTTATATTAGCTTTCCAGCATAGTGATTTGGAGTTCTCTCCAGTTGTGGAAACTAATTGAAGCATTGTTCAATCTCCATTGCAGCTTGTTAGATCGATGAATCATGTGCTTAGTTCCATTTTTCTTTAGTGCATTATTATTTCAGTCCTAGTTCTTTTGTAACTCTGACCTAGTAGTTGTCACCATCATCCTAGTTCATTTAACTTAAAGGTAAATTATTTCATAGGACCTTTAAGTTGTCACTATCATCCTATTTCACTAAAGATCATCCTATGAACTAATTTACCTTTACCTTTAACACTACTAAGCAACTACTTATTGTACTTTCCCCAAAACAGAAAAGATGAGTCAAACAATTCCTGCAACGTGTTTATCTCCCTTATGACTTCATTCTAATGGAGGAATAGAATAAACCAAACTTTTTCACTCTTCTGAAATAAACCTTCTAGAATTAGTGAGACTATAAGATGTTCAATCGTAAATCACATCAAATAAATTAAAGGCACACCAAGTGTTTCTATGAAGCAAAACAAAAGAAATGCGCAAAGTGATATAAAATCAGAGAACCAAAGAGGGAACAGGCTCAAATTTTGTCTATGGTTTTAGAATAAAGCAACGTGATATGATAAAGTGATGTTCTTGTAGGGAATTTTTTTCTTAGATGAAGGCAAGTCTGTTGGCGTCACTTGCTAATTAAAGACATACCATATCATAGTACCCATCCAGTTACAGTCCCAATTAGATTGATAGAATTAATCACGCTAACATGAAAAAGGTACCACAATTACAGACTTAAAAGCTACAACACTATTCAATGAATAATGCAAATAATACAGCAGAATACCTGAAAGATCATGTATGGAGGACGTCATGATGCTGCTTGTCACAAACTCCCCAAATCGAAAGACCTGATTATGCAATGCAACTAACAAAAATTGGATCAGCAAATAACAGCATAAACTATAGTCGCTAATATTTATGCATGATCCAAACGAAACGAATACATGCACAATTAAACCTCAGGTTTTAGATAACTGCAACCACAAGTAGAGAACATAAACTCAAGCGGCAAATTTTCTGAATTTTGGTATTATGATATGTCAACATTTCTATAAATGAATTTCCATCATACAAAAGATAATTCAAATTGAACTATCCAAACAACAAATCAAATGAACGCAAAGCAAAGCAAAGATTCAGCTCATTCAACGAATCAACACATGCAGACTTTTTATTATATTTCATACGGAAACAGCAAAAAAATCAACTAATCGAGCTCAATTCAAGTTTTTCCATTGTGTTTTACAATTCTGTTGTCATTATTTATTGTAATCACATGAAATTAGGGTTTATGATGGGAGAAATTTACCTTTCCTGGAAGCTTAGTGTAGAAAATGAATAGCGGTGCTTCCTGTTTAAACACTCTCTCTTTCGTCTGCTTTATACTCTGTCTTGTCTCTGTTGGAATACAAAACAGAACAACCTCTTTGGAGTTTTGTCATTCCGTTGCACTATTTTTAGCGGTGCACTTCTTCCTCTCTTTCTCTACACAACTAACTAACTATCAGTCATTTTTAAAGTCATCAAGTATTTTTTTATTCTCCCTCAATAAAAAGAGTTGCCTACTAAGTTGGCTTGGGTTTCATATTGAGTCGTGCAATATAGACTTTTTACACAAATTCAAATTTCGCTAGCGTTTGGTCAGAGATATTCAAATATTTTTAACAAATATTATTTGGCTGAAAATTTCACCATGCATCTGACCATAGTATTTGGAAAACATATGAAAAAAAATATGATTTATACTCATTAAGTTTTAAAAACTATCAAAACTAACCATAAATTTGTATTACAAGTCAATTGGATTTTTGTTGCAACAAATAACAAGTAGTGTCCATGACACTGGAGCAATGTGGTAGTTTGGAGTGAGTGCAACAAGCATCGTTCCATACAACGTGAAGTAGACAAAGCACACGACGTTGTTAACCTGAGCCGATTGTTCATCATTTTCATCAACAACCATATCATCACTTTCATATTCACTGAATATTTCATCCCTACTTTTGTAACACCCCGTATCCGAAAATAGACCAGATTGCAGATTTCTGGTGTTGCAGGTAGAACTCACGAACACCATCCACGGACCGTAGATGGACTCACGGTCCGTCCTGCAGGTCCGTGGTTCGTGACAGAAAACTTCCCCAGAACTCAGCCAGAAAATTTGGCTAAGTGTTGACCCACGGCCGGACTTACGGTCCGTAGGTCAGGTCACGGACCGTAGTTCGTGTCCATGGAACGATGCCCCAAAAGCCCAGCTTCAGTCCCGATTGACGGTTGACCAGTACGGACTGTCAATCGATACACGGTCCATAGGTCTAATCGTAAGTTAGGGCCAACAGCCAGTTAGCTGAAAATTCTGATAGGTCAACTTCAGATGGTCATACCTTTTAGCACAAAAGGAATTAGGTGCCCCATGACCTATGATATGATAGATAATTGAATTATCTTTCCAACGCCACCGAGTTTGCTAAAATCCGACCTCCGAGTAAAAAATTATGCTCATTTTAGTGAAGCCCTGTTGGGCAGACTCAATCGACGGACCCAATCTACGGACCGTCGATTGAATAACGGCCCGTCAGTCCAATCCGTCGATCACTCCGACAGCAGTTAAGCAGGGGTCTATTGGTCTTTTCCTATTTCGTTTAACCCCTAAGATACGTCGTTTAAACCCTAAATCATGAGGTTTTAGTCAGTTTAAGCCTAGAAACATAATTAGAACTTACCTTAGTCAAAACATTTAATCAAAACTTAGAAAATTAGAATCAAGAGAGGAGAAAAAGGTCAAGAACCCTAGTTCAAGAACGCAGCAAGGGTCCATTAGTTCCAACCCCGAAATCGAAAAATTTCTCCGTGGAATTCGTCACCAGGTATGTGGGATTTCACTAGTGGGTTCCTTTCGCCCATTAGGTCCCTAGAATTCAGTCAGATTCTTGATTCCATGAACAGACCTAGGGTTTCTAGAATTTCAACAGATCATCATGAATTAGTTATTTAAATGTTCCAAATCATATTATCATGTTATTGCTTAGTTTCTTACATAAATTTCAGAACCCTAGCTATGTATTTCATTAGTTCTTGAATTACACACGCTAGGTCAGATATTTCAGTTATTCAGATATACATGCTCCAGTTTTATACCACATTAGCAGTATATTTCAGCACAAACCCTATTTTGAGTTATAAATCATGAGAAGCTTTTCTTTAAGACAACACTTGAGTTTTAAACTGAGTTTTTGAGAAAGTTTAGATGAGTTTTGAGAAAGAGCTTCTAAAACATGATTAGTATGACAATTGAGTAGGTCATCAATGTATGAATAGTATGGTATCTAGATATACCATCAATGTTTATGTAGTATGACTTCCCAAGTCATCGATATAATATGATGTTGAATTGTTTTCTAAAAAGGAGTTTTCAAGTATGAGTATCTACATGTCAGTATTTTGAGCTATTTAGTATTCCAGTCATAATATATTCAATTATACATGCCTCAGTTTATGAATGCATCATTATCAGATTAATTGTTGCATTCTCAGTTTACATGTTCAGTTTCGAGCTATCCAGTATTTATAGAAATTCAGTCATAACCAGTTAACCACTTAATTCATTGGGAGTAGCATAATACCGAGTTGGACTAGGGTTCAGCGTACCCATATAGTCCCAGAACTACGAGCCACGTAGGTGTAAGTCCCCTCTGTGGGCAACATCAGTTTAGTGATCACGCCAGCATGCCTCTATACCTCTGGCAGGGTATATTGGGTCCTCTCGATGGGGCGTATACATCAGACTCCACATTTAGCTCATGTGGTTTTATGTCGGTTATTAGTAGCTCCCACAGTTCAGTCAGACTCTATTGCATTGACCATATTTCAGTACAGTCAGTATTCAGTCTCAGCATGTTATAAATTTGGTCATTGCATCAGTTAGCTCAGTATTCAGTATTTTCAGTATCTATATCATGTTCAGATTATTTCATTGATTTATTGCTTTGTTCTTCAACTTTACTCTATCATGCATGCTCAGTACCATTCAAGTACTGACGCATACGTGCGCTACATCTTCTCGTGATGTAGGTTTAGGTTCTCAGCATCCAGATCACGCTTAGATCGATTCCCGATCTTAAGTTCAGCAGCATCCGTGGTGAGTCCTCATTCTTTGAGGACTAGTGACATGTTTATCTTTATCGCTTTTAGTCTTTAGTTTCAGTTTTGCTAGATCTAGTTGGGGCATGTCCTAACATTTCTAGTCAGTTTAGAGGCTTATTTCAGACATAGTTAGATTCAGCTTAGTGTTTTGAGTTTGATATTTCTTTTGTATTAAACTCTCAGATTTGATATATTCAGTTATAGTATATGGGTATTCCCCATCTTTTTAGATTTATTTATGATTTAGCTTCCGCATCAGTTTATTATCTTTAGTATGCTCATGATCATGCCAGCAGGGTTAACTTGGGATCACTTGTGGTCCTAGATCCCGTGTCCGCGTCTCGGGGGTAGCTCGGGGTGTGACAACTTTGGTGTTCACGTAAAAAAAAATATGTAATAGAACAAGAGGGTGTTTATGTAAAAGATAAAAATTTGGTGTAGAATTTGAATTTTTTTTAAATCCCAATTAATGAGATTTGGCCCAAATACTAGTTTTTTCTAGTATTTGGGAATTTGAGTTATCTGCCAAAAATATTTGTCAAGCAATAACAAATTGTATGGACAAACACTATTTGTCAAATTTACTTCGTGGCTCTCCATGTTCAAATGACCATAATGTCCCTTATTAAAAATTCAAATCTGAATTTTTTATTCTCTAAATTAAATTCATGATGGTCTTTTTCAATGCATTTGCACACCTAATTTTTTTTTCCTTTTTAATTTTCTGAACATCATTTTCAATTTTCAAGCCTCAATAATGTTAAACTTTACTCAGGTTTAAAATGAAAGTCAAATATTGTCACAAGTAAAGGTGTACATAGGTCGATTTGGTTTGATTTTCATTAAAAAAATCCTAAATTAATTATGTCAGTTTATTAAATCTAAAAACCAAATCAAACCACATAAAGTTGGTTTTTTGGTTTCGGCTTTAGTCGGTTCTTTCGGTATTTTTTGGTTTTTTTGGGGTTTTTACAACTATACGGTATTTGAAAAAGAGATCAAATATATTTTCACTTACCTGTGTAATAAGCTAAACTTAAAAATTGTTAAATGAATAGAATTTTTTGAAAAGATGGTAAAATTCAAAATATTTTTTTGAAATATCAACGTTCATTATGTTAAATCAATAAGATTAAAGGCTAGAGGCAAACTGAACACAAAACAAAAAATTTACAAAGTAAATTATTAACTTCGAATTTGAAAACCTATAACAATATAATTGTAACTTCGGATCTTTATACAAAATAAAATATTTACAAATTTTACAAGCCCAAATTTGAAATAAAATATATAAACATTGAAAACTATAAACTAACTAAAAATATATTAACAAAGTAGATTATAAATAATATTTTTTATATATAAATAAAATAAAATTTTATATATATATATATATATATATAATATTTACAAAATTTTACAAGCCCAAATTTGAAATAAAATATATAAACATTGAAAACTATAAACTAACTAAAAATATATTAACAAAGTAGATTATAAATAATATTTTTTATCTATAAATAAAATAAAATTATATATATATACATATTATGTCGGTTTAGTTTGGGTTCGATTTAACTTTTTTTCTTTTAATATCAGACCAAACCAAACCACAAATCGTTTTTTTTTTTCGATTTGATTTGGTTCGTTGGTTCAATTTGACTTTACGGTTTGACTTGTACACCCCTAGTCACAAGTACTTGTTATGGATGAGAACTTTTTGGAGTCAAAATAATTGGGATAGACGATATTAGGCCTGTCCACACTACAACATAAATGTTTTAATGCAAAATTAACTTAGTTAATTTTTATACTTATTTTAATTTATTTTTAATGTGTATTCATAAATTGAAATTGAGTCCCAATAGTACAATTTTTTTAATAAAGAGACAATGTTGTTTGTGCCCGATCACGATTTGCGATTTCAAGACTTGTTGCTAGAATTTGAGTTGGAAGCGCATAAGAATGATGTTGAACCTACTCTTGTTAATGAACAAGTTGAGAAAATCGTTAATCATGGAGATGTTTTCTCAAGTTCTTTGTCCAAAGAGACAGAAATATTGAGCGACTTGATCTTGTAAGTGTTGAAATATTTTAAATATAAATTAATAAAATTAATTTGAAATATATTGAATTCAAGAAAATAATCTAAATATTATGACTGATATAATTTGATTAAGAGCAAACTATATAAATCTCA